ACCTCCGTTCGTTAGTTAATTTTCCGTATAATTTCTTTTCGAAGAAACTTTAGCGTTACATGTCATTTCTTAAATGAAACTAGTTTATTCTTTCTAAATAAAACTTTGCAATACACTTAATTTCCACAGTCACGCTATAACAAACGCTATAAGTCACAACGAACGTCTCACGTGCTCGACTCAACAATACCTCTCTCTGTCCGCAGTTCAATTACTCATTACATGACATTGTTGCCGTCACGTCTTGACCGTCTTATATATAAAAGAATACCGAATCTAGTAAACGCTAGAGCATTCAGGAAGGGACGTGAACGTTCTAGAAGTTCATGACGTGTTACTAGGGTCACGTGACTTCCGCAGTCGTAACAATATACACACTTCATATAGTGCACATTACATAAAAATGATACTATTTCTAAGAAAAAAATATTGTCTGCGCTCACTAAACCCAAGAAAACAAGTACACAAGATTAAGAATATGATACAGAAATATTGTATGGATGTGTGATATCTGTGTCATCACAAAGCTTAGAAAAAATGAGGCAAATTAGCAAAATTAGATAGGCTTAGCGATGTATTTTTTAAAATATTCTGCGCAGGAAACCGTCATTTTGGAAGTGTAAGAATCTATTTAACAAAATACTAAGATTTGCTGTCTACAAGATTATATTTTGTCCTAGATGAATATGTGCAGACTTAATTCGAAGCGATTTCAGTAAACGGTTAATTGTAAGAAATATTTCACTGTTCGTTTATATTACTCAGCAGTATTTTTGTGAAAAGTTAGTGTCTCAGATACTAATATTTATTCCACATTTTCTAATTATCCTAGCAGACGAATTATTTCCCATAATCCACTACTCGCATGCTTGAAGTGAAAATGGCTACGAATGGCACAAGTAGTTCGGTGTCTGAACAACCTGATTATTCTATTCCAACTTCTGATGGAAGCAACAGAGTGAAAGTTATCTGTTTAGGAGACAGCGCTGTCGGAAAATCCAAGTAGGTTGTGCAGAAATAGTGTGTTATTAATTAATATGTCTTGGTGAAAGCTTACCTTTTTATTCCAGCAACCAGTCTATAGTATTAGTATTACTTTAGTTTAGTGTTGATACTATTAACTTGTATTGTGGTACTGATACGAGTGGTAGGACTATGGCTTCATTTGATTCATAATCATATTAATAATAATATTACTATTACTAGTAATAGACTAACATTTTCGAAGCAAACTAGAGCAGTAACAATTGTAAATTTAAAAATTTATACAGACATTAATCATTTACATTTTTTAATGACTCGTGTAATAAATATGTCACTCGTCTTAAGCCTGAATGTTTTGTATTTTGTTAAGTTTCAACAGTTAAATACAATAACTCCAATAAGTGCAAGTAGGCCCTAAAATTAAATATAGATAGTCACAAATCAACTTCTAAGTTTTTCTTTTTCCATGATTGAAATAGATGGATATAAAACTACCATTGACAGGGGAGTGATTATCTAAGAATCGTATTTTGAGGCTTTGCCTTTTAGTATAGCATTTCAACTTGTTGAATCAAAATTTACCAGTTAACAACCCCACAAGTTCTGTACAATAGTGTAGACTATATGACACTCTGCTTCTCACATTGTCATAATCTTAATGAAATACATGTAATTGTACATTAAGCATAATATTCAATATTTTAAAAATTGCATATCATTGGTTCGATGATAGCAAGTATTTACTGAATAGATGCATTTCTCAAATTAAGCTTATTGCAAGTTTAACATTATGATTCATTCAGACAACTTGGTTGTAATAAATTTACTATTCTTGTCATAAATGTAACTTGCTCACAGCATGAAAGGAAGTGTCGTAAACATAAGAAAAACTTTAGAATGGTAAATTTCAAGCATTTTATTAGACCAACAGGTGTGAGTAGAGCTAAGTGATTAACCCAATTAATTGATTTAATCTATCACCTTATAAGTATTGATTAGATTGATTAGTTGTCATGTAAACTAATGAATTAATCAAAGTTATGATTAACTTGACTGATGTTCCACAATTTAGTCAACTAATCAAAATTAATGTATCTGATTATAACAATTTTTTAATATTTCAACCAACCAAGAAATAAAAATATTAACATTATGATTTCTCATTATTACTTTCCATTTATTTAAGGTTGTTCAGTTTAATCAACTAGTTTCACAAACTAACATAATTACAGTGATTTGCCAAAGTAGGAAAAATTTTTTTAAATTTTAAGTAACTTAGTTTTTGTAGTTTTCACTATTTTGTTTCAATACCTATTTGTAGCATCAAAACTTCCTACATGGCTATAGCTAGCTCAGTTACATATATATTGATCCTTACTTGTCTTTATTAAACTTAAAAGCATTTATTGTACTTGTTTGACAACAGAATAATCGTTGGACTCGAGTGATTATATTAAATTAATTTATCATTCTCACATGAAACATGGAATAATTGAAAATAGTAATAATCTGAAACACTAATTTCAATTACTTCATTATTTTTGTAAGTTGAGCCAAAGTAAGGATAAAGTTGTTTAGATTTTAAGTAACTCAGTTTTTGTAATTTAGACTTTCTTGTTTCAATACTTTTTGTAACAGTAAAACTTTATATTACTATAGATAGCTGGGTTACGTATATATTGACCCCTGCTTGTCTTTGTTAAATTAAAAATTTTCTTTATTGTACATCTTTGTTTTCTTTTCATTAGCTATATTTTTGTGTGTCAGCAATACCAAGAATAGGTCACATAAGATGTCTGTGATGTATTGGTTTAAATTTCCAAGTACACTGATTTTACATACATTTTGGAAGATAGTATTGTTGACATCTGTAATAAACATCTGTGTAGGTACTGTAATTTGTCTTTTACACTGTATGTGTTTGAAATGTACATTATTTCATGATATATCAGTTTCAGGATTCTTTGGCACTATCGAGTGTCACAATCACCAACAGACATGGGGTCTATTCCAATTGTGTGATTACAATTACATTTTTAAGGAAAAAAGCAAAAAATAAAATGTTAAAAACAAACTCTTTTTATTTCATTAAACTTCAAAATAGATCAACAAATTAATTACATATCACCCAAGTGATCCAAAAACATAGTTTAAATCTGAACTTTTATTCCCAAAATGTTTCAAGTCAGCTGTTACACTGAATAAATATCAATTGTTCAAATTTTTAGTCTGTCAAGTTGCATCCTTCTGGTTTGAAGACTTTGCCTGCAATCGAGATAAGTCATTCAACAGGGGTACTAGAGGCTGGAATCTGAAGGCTTAACCCTTTCTATATAGGTCACAGGTGAAAGGCCATGCCATCTCATTTGTTGACTCACATTCAAAATTTTATTAAACTACTATTTCATGAATTTATGTCACTAAGTTTGGTATCAAACTGTAGATTATAAAACATAGTTTTGAACTATACATTGCTCAATTTGTTAATTTAAAAGTAAATATTAAAAAATACAGATAAACATTGATTTTTGTGTGATACATGGTATGTTGAATGCAGCACTTGTTCAAATTAGATGTTTGTGAAGTCAAAATACTAAGTCTATAGTATCATATGAATTAGAAACTCAACTTGCAGATATTGACAAGCTAGAATATAAAAAAAGAAGGTCTTTTCTATTTCGTAAGATATTGCTTACGTAATAAATCAAACATAGTGGCACCCCGCTCACTTCCTTCCATTTATAGAAATGTTGACTTATAAACACTTACTTCTGTATATGACATGAATAACCAATCAGAAGCTCAGAATGTCCCCCTAGTGGTTTTCTAAGCCTTTCTATTGTACCTAGCATCAAATCAAGATTTCAATGAGGTAAATTGTGTCTTTAGTCTGCTTGAAATTTCATATTTTTTTTAGAGTAAAATACATTATGTAGTAATTTATGATTTTTTAGTTATTCAAAGTATATATAACAGATAAAATATAAAGTTTTTTCTTAAGAAACATTTGATAACTATTTGGACATTATAAAGATTTTGCATGTGAAATTTCATAATTTTCTGATGTATAAAAGTATTTTTAAAGATAAGATGAAAATTGCTTTGCATGATAGATAGGCAAGATGTGAAAAGAAAAAAAAGACATGAAACATTGCTTTAAAATCTTTAAGACTTAATAAAAAAAATTAGATACTT